ACTGGGGCAGAGGGAGCCGCCAACCCCCTCCCCGCCCCGTGTACCTGCCCGCTGTCCGCTGAGGCCCACTGGGGCAGAGGGGGCCGGGCCTGGAAAATCCCGGCTCCTCGGCCCAGAGCCAGGCCTGGGTCCCGGCTTTCCCCAGGGCTGGCGGCCAGCACGGAGGCCCCGGGGCAGCAGCACAATAGCCCTGCTGCCTGGGCTCTGGTTCCTAATCCCCGCTCCTCCTGCCTTGGCCACACACGCGGGGGCTCTCACGTCCCCAGAGCCCGGAGGGAAGGGCAGGGCAGAGCGCAGGCCTGGGCTGGCGGGCGCAGCAGGGCAGGACCAGGGGCTTTGCCCCAGACCCCCGATCCTGGCCACCCTCATCCCTGGTGTCCTTGCAGTGTGGGGACCCCCCACTGGCCCTCTGTCTGCTGCTGTGGGGTGGGGGGTACACCAGAGCTCGGACCCGGCCACCAGGGAAGGCCTGGTGAGTCTCTCCCGATGGACAGGGCTCGGCCCGAGCAGGGGTCACGGCCTGCGGGACAGCTGGGGCAGGGTCCCGTGCCACCACACTATTGAGATGGCCTCTCTTCACGGACCACTAGGGACGGGGCTCCCCGCTGACCCCAGGGCCAGGTCTCCCCGCTGACCCCAGGGTGGGGCCCCTCCCCGCTGACCCCCAGGGCCAGGCCTCCCCGCTGACCCCGGGGCCAGGTCTTCCCCGCTGACCCCAGGGTGGGGCCCCTCCCCGCTGACCCCAGGGCCAGGTCTCCCCGCTGACCCCAGGGTGGGGCCCCTCCCCGCTGACCCCAGGGTGGGGCCAGGTCTCCCCGCTGACCCCGGGGCCGGGCCCAGGCTGGAAGCTGCAGCATCCCCAAGATCGGGGCTCCCCCGCTGCGCCCCGGCCAGCAGTCGGAACTCAGGCTCTGTCCGTCTCCTGGCAGAGAGAACGTGGCCCGCAGAGGCCCCAGCCTGTCCCCCAGGCTGAGCAGCGTGAGCCTCCGGTGGCCGAGGGGCTCCTGCTGTGGGGCCGTGGCTGTGCGGACATGACGTCCCCTCAAGGCACCGCAGAGGAGCGGGAAGTTCCTGGGCCACAGCTCCGGCCGGGCGGGCCCTCCCTGGGGGCGAGGCGCGGCCGGGAGCCCCACAGTGCCCTGGAAGCAGCGACTGGGGGTCCACGGGGTGGGGGCTGCACAGGCGGCTCCCGACCGGCCCCATTGCCCCGGGAGGCTGCCACTCTGGGCTGCGAGCCAGGACCCCCGCCCCCGTGTCCCTGTCAAGTGCCCCCGGCTGGGCCGGCAACTCCCCGAGTTCTAATTACAGGTAATTCCAGAGAGCAGCTCACCTGGGGAGAGAGGATTAGCGCCGGGGTGGGAACTTCAGCCAGAGCCCAGTGATCCCCCACCCTGACCCTGCAGGAGCCCACGTCCCCCTCCCCTCTGGGGCCAGGGGCAGTGCCGGGGTCCTCACACCCCCGCCCTCTGGGTCAGGGGCAGTGCCGGGGTCCTCACACCCCCGCCCTCTGGGTCAGGGGCAGCGCTGGGGTCCTCACACCCCCGCCCTCTGGGTCAGGGGCAGCGCCGGGGTCCTCACACCCCCGCCCTCTGGGTCAGGGGCAGTGCCGGGGTCCTCACTCCCATTGTCCACCATAGAACCTGGGCCTCTGTTGGGGCGGGCTTGGCCCCTGGGTGATGGGGGCCTGGGCAGGCCTGGGGGGGGTCTCAGCCGGGATGGGAGGAGACCCTGGCAGGCTCATTTGACCTGGGCTCTGGTTGGGGGGTGGTACCAGGCTGGAGTCTGGGGCCCGGGGAGACCTGCTTCCGGCAGGAATCGCCTTCCCTGCTGCCCTGTGCCTGGTCACCGAGGCCGGAGGCCTCGGAGGTTCCCCTGGGCGTGGGCCTGTGCTTGGGGCAGTGGGGGCTGCGTGATCCCGGGCAGGTCGTAAAGATAAACCTCTGATAACCTGTGTCAATATTTCCCCCACGCCGGCCTGCAGGAGCCCCCACAGCTGCTCTCTGGATAATCTGGGAGACGCCCCACCCCCCTGCCCCTCCCCTCCCTGCCTGCGGCGGACGCCCGCGGGCCATATAAGGCCGGGACCCCATACGGGCTCGGTCGCCTCTCCCACAGGGCCTCCTGAGCCAACATGGGGTTGCCACTGGCCCGCCTGGCAGTGGTCTGGCCTGGCCCTGTCCTTGGCCGTGGCCGGGCAGGATTCAGGAAGGTGAGGCGGGCTGGGCACAGCGGCCAAGAGCGAGTCGAGCAGAGTGCCCTGGGGGCGGGGCGGGCAGGGAGACCACGCACCAGAGCCCGATGCCCAGGAGTGGATGGTCTTGCTCTGCCTGGCCTGGTCGGGGGTCCCCAGGCACCAGGACATCTGTACGGCTCCAGCTAGGCTCCCAGGCTGGGGTCAGGCAGGCTGAGCCCCCAGCCCGGCCTCATGGGCAGCAAGGAGGGCGTAAGGTCCTTGGGTGCCTACCAGATGGTGGTCCAGGGGCCCCGGGGGAGATCTGTTGGGGAGGTGGGGGGGTGGTCCAGGTACAGGGGCCCCCGGGGGCAAAGGCCAGGCCAGGGCCTTCTTGACCTGGACCTACCCGCCAGCCCGAGCCGAGGACTGGGTGTCAGGGGAGGGGCTGCCTATCTGCTGGTGTGGGTGCCCGGAGCAGAGGAGGCGCCGGGGATGGATGGACAGAGTGTGGCGCTGGCCGGGCCGGGTGGGCTCTGGCCAGGGGCACGAGGCAACCAGGGTGGACCAGTGCCCGGAGGCCCTCTGCCCCCTCGCCCCACACAGCAAATGGCCAGAGGGGAAGCCGGAGACAACCTCCCAGGGGGCCCCAGAGCCCCGGGGGTGACCGGTGCCCAGCACAGGCCTCTCGGGGAAGAAGGTCTGCCCCCACGAGGGACACTGTGCCGGGACCCCCGTGGGCCATGGCGGCCTCCCGCTGCTCCTGGGGGCCTCCCGGGGGCCTGGCCACTCACCCCGTGCCCCCCGCTGCCCGCTCAGAAGGCCGGCCCAGAACCACGGCCACAACGTCTGGCAGCACCTGGGGCGACTTCCACTACAAGACCTTCGACGGCGCCGTCTTCCGCTTCACCGGCCTCTGCGACTACAAACTTCGCCTCCGACTGCCGGGACTCCTACAAGGAGTTCGCCCTGCACCTGCAGCGGGGCCCGGCCCAGGCCGGGGGCGCCTCCCAGATCACATCCGTCCTGCTCACCATCAAAGACGACGTCATCTATCTCACCCACCAGCTGATCGTGGTCAACGGGGCCATGTGAGCGCCGGCCCCTGTCCCGGGACCAGGGGGTGGGGCTGGCGGTCTCCACCTGGGGCTCCCTGCCCTGCACAACGCTGGGACACACTCGGGACCAGCAAGTCCCTGATTCACTCCTCAGACGCGTGTGGCAGCCGGCACGAGGCCGTCCCTAGGCGAGCGGGTCCCTGGCCGCCCGGGACCTGGTGGGTGGGCTGGTGCGGGTTCTGCCAGGCTAGAGTTACAGAAGCCCCCGCCCTCGGTGCTGGGGGTGGGCAGGGGCGTTGTCTCCACAACAATGGGGCCTCTGAAATGCAATCCTGCCCCCCCCCGTCCCACCCCCAGGAGTGCCTGTCCCTGCTCCCTGGCATTCTTTTTCCCAGCCAAGCTCGGCCAGGGCCCCTATCATGGGGGTAGAGGGCTCAGAGGCTGGAGCCCAGGGCTGGGGATCCCTTCGGAGGAGGGGCGTCGGCCCTCTGAGTAGGGGGCCCGTGGGGTGATCGGGTGACTCTGGTACCTTCGGGGACCCTGGGGAGCCCCCGCCCAGGACAGCACCAAGGAAGGGACCGGGCAGGAGGAAGCGAGGCAGGGTCGCAGCCCCTGGGCCGCGCTGGGCTGGCAGCGCCTGTGGCCAGGGGCTGCTCGAAGCACAACCGGCGCAGGGCCGGGGGCCGCACTGACGCCTTGGCGCCCCTCCCCGGGTCAGCACCCCGCACTAAGCTCCGGGCTGCTCATAGAGAAGAGCGAGGCGTACAACCAAGGTCTACTCCCGCGCTGGCCTCACTCCCTCATGTGTAACCGGGAGGACTCGCTAATGGTGGGTGGCCGGCCGGGGGCGCTCCCAGGCAGAGGGGCTGCGGGTCTGGCCCCCCGGAATGGACGCCAGCTGGCCCAGGGGGCAGTGGAGGGGAGCCGGCCTGGGCTTGGCCCGGGAGGGGACCGCTCGGTCGGCAGTGGCCGGCCCGCGTCTCTCGCTGCGCTGCGGCACCCCCTTGCGGTCACCCCCGTGCCCCCTTGCACCTGCTGTAGCCCTGCCACCTGCTCCCTTCCGTGACAGCTGGAGCTGGACAGTAAGTTCCAGAACCACACCTGCGGCCTCTGCGGGGACTACAACGGCCAGCAGACCTCGGAGTTTCTCTCTGATGGTGAGGGCAGGCGGCTGCCCTGGGAGTGTGGGGAGGGGGCCCTCAGGCTCCCGGGACCCCCTGACCGCCTGTGCCCCTTGGCCAGGCATCTCCCCCTCAGCGCCACTGAGTTTGGCACAGCAGGCAGAAGATCAAACAACCCCCAGACCAAGTGTGAGGACCCCCCGAGGAGGTGTCGGCCCCCGAGTCCTGCTCCAAGACACTGTGAGTCGCGGGGACACGGGGTCCCCGGGGGGCGGCAGGGCCCCAGAGGGGCGAGGGCGGCCGCCAACCCTCCCACCTGCCCGTCTGCCCGCCCGCAGCGCGCCGAGTGCGAGAGGCTGCTGACCGCCGCGGCCTTCGAGGACTGCCAGGCCCGGCTGCCGGTGGAGCTGTACTGGACGCCTGCGTGCAGGACCTGTGCAGCTGTGGGGCAGACGCCTCCTGCGCCTGCAGCACCATCTCCGAGTTCTCCGCCAGTGCTCCCACGCCGGCGGCCGGCCCGGCAGCTGGAGGACCGCCTCGCTCTGCCGTAAGCGCGGCCCCGTGGGGGGGGTGCCTGTGGGGGGCTGGGGAGCCGGGGGTGCCCGCTCACGGGCCGCCTCTGCACTTCCAGCCAAGAGCTGCCCTGGGAACATGGTGTACCTGGAGAGCGGCTCGCCCTGTATGGACACCTGCTCCCACCTGGTAGTCAGCAGCCTGTGCGAGGAACACCCCATGGACGGCTGCTTCTGCCCAGAAGTAGCGCTGGGGACAGCGACGGCCGGGGCGCGCGGCAGGGCAGACCCCAGTGCCGAACTCCCCTGCCCTGGCCCCCATGGTGGCTGCAGGAGGCTGGGGGGGGTGCCAGCCTGGTTCCGCAGGGCCCTGGCTCAGGGCAGGGCAGGAGGCGGTCTGGAGACCCCTCCCCAGAGATGAGGTGGGGCTGGCAGAGGTGACTGTGGGGGGCTCGCAGCCCCCCCCCCGGGATTCTGGCACCTTCTGAGGCCAGCCCGGGTACGCCGGCCCCTGCTGTCCAGGCACCGTGTATGATGACGTCGGGGCAGCGGCTGCATCCCGGTGAGCCAGTGCCACTGCAAGCTACACGGCGCCTGTACTCCCCGGCCAGAAGATCACCAACGACTGAGGACTGGTGAGCTCGGGGCCCCGGGCAGGCGGGCGGCGGCGGCCGGTGCTGACGCCGCGTCCCCGCCGCAGCGTCTGCAACGCCGGCCGCTGGGTCTGCAAGGACCTGCCGTGCCCCGGGACCTGCGCCCTGGAGGGCGGCTCCCACATCACCACCTTCGACGGGAAGAAGTTCACCTTCCACGGCGACTGCTACTACGTCCTGAGCAAGGTGCGCGCCAGCCCTGGGTACCACCTGCCCCCAGGCGGGGCCCAGGCAGCTGGGCTCCCGGTGCCGCCCACGGCCGCTGCAGTGCTGCTGCCCCTCCCCCGCAGGGCGACCACAACGACTCCCACGCTCTCCTGGGCGAGCTGGCCCCCTGCGGCTCCTCGGACAAGCAGACCTGCCTGAAGTCGGTGGTGCTGGTGACCGACCGGAAAAAGGATGTGCGTGCCCCTCCCCCTAGCGCCCAGGCCCCACCCCTCTCCCCAGGCCCCCCAGCCTCTCAGCCCCTTCCTCCCCAGGCCTCCCTCCTCCCCCCAGGCCCCCCAGCCCTCTCAGCCCCGCCCCCCGTGCCTGCAGGTGGTGGCCTTCAGGGCGGACGGCAGGGTCCTGCTCAACGAGCTGGAGGTGCACCTGCCCCACGTGACAGGTGAGTCCTGCTCCGCCCTGGGCGCTCCCGGGGCCGGGCTTCCGTGGGGGGGTCGGGGCCGGGCTCCCGTGGGGGGCGCTCCCGGGGCCGGGCTCCCGTGGGGGGTTGGGCCGGGCTTCCGTGGGGGGGTCGGGGCCGGGCTCCCGTGGGGGCGTCGTGGCTGGGCCTCCCATGGTGGGCGTCGGGGCCAGGCCTCCATGGTGGGCGTCCGGGCCAGGCCCCTCACCGCCCTGCCTTGCAGCCAGCTCTCCATCTTCCAACCGTCCTCATACCACATCATCGTGGACACGGCCTTCAGCCTGCGGCTGCAGATCCAGCTGGTCCCTGTCATGCAGCTCTACGTCACACTGGACCAGGCCTCCCAGGGCCAGGTGCAGGGTGAGTGACCCCGGGCTCGCCCCTTCCGCGGCCTCCGCCGATGGCCCGCACGGAGGCTGCCTCCCAGGGCCAGTGCAGGGTGAGTGACCCCGGGCTCGCCCCTTCCGCGGCCTCCGCCGATGGCCCGCACGGAGGCTGCCTCTGAGGCCGCGCCTTCCAACCCCGCCCTGCCCCGCAGGCCTCTGCGGGAACTTCAACGGCCTGGAGAGCGACGACTTCAGGACGGCCAGCGGGCTGGTGGAGGCCACGGGCGCCAGCTTCGCCAACACCTGGAAGGCCCAGTCCAGCTGTCACGACAAGCTGGACTGGCTGGACGACCCCTGCTCGCTCAACATCGAGAGCGGTGAGGCCCGGCGCTGCTGGGCGCTGCCCGTCGGCCCGGGTCCGGCCAAGGCCATCGAGGCCCGGGGCACGGGGGCTCCCGAGGGGGAGGGGCGGGGGCAGGTCAGAAGGTCCCACCCGGGGCCAGCTGCTGTGTCTGGCACACGGCTGGTTTACGGTGCCCCTCGGGGCGGGGAGAGGGGAGCCCATCCCGCATGGAGCTTCCGAGGTTGGACCGGAGGGAGGAAGGGGCCTGGGCTCGGGTCCACAGAGGGGGGCCATGCCCACCGCAGCCTGGGCAGCCAGGCGGGAGGAAGGGGCCTGGGCTCGGGTCCACAGAGGGGGGCCATGCCCACCGCAGCCTGGGCAGCCAGGCGGGAGGAAGGGGCCTGGGCTCGGGTCCACAGAGGGGGCCATGCCCACCGCAGCCTGGGCAGCCAGGCGGGAGGAGGGGCCTGGCTCGGGTCCACAGAGGGGGCCATG